ACTTCTACTGAATTCATAGTCTATTATATCAAAAGTTTAATTACAAGTACTCATAAGGCCTTTAATGGCCACATACACCCAAAATATAGGCATATGGATCTCGATCTAGAACCAACTTATTAAGGCTTCAATGCCTTAGTCTTCCTCAAGCCCCCCTTGGCTTGATCTTAGAGAGATGAGAGAGAGAATCTCCTAAGTGCCCCTTTCTAACCTTCTTATGAGAGATATTAACCAATAGAGAGAGAACCCTATGTGGGGGCATGGCCCTTAAAGAGAAAGAGATAGCTTAGAGAGAGAAAAGAGAAGAGGTGTAGAGAATTATGCTATTTATAGATTTTCTATGCATTAAGGTTTGCTATCTTAGTGATATCAAATCTAGACTATTGATCTAAAGAGATTTGTGGGGTGAAAAATATGAGTCATTCATTCTTTAAATCCACCATCAAGATTTAAAAGAAAGTGCTAGAATTTTATTATCATTTACTTTAACTTATTCCCATCAAATATTTAAATACTGAAAATAGTACTCATGCTTTCCCTTTTATGAATATTCATTCTGTAATCTCATACTCTTAGATCAATCAAAATATGTTGATATATAACACATCCCAATTTTCATTAATTGATTCCTTATGCAAGGAGGCTTCGAACCAAAATGGAAAGTCATCTAGCATGAAGCTTCCTTACAAACTTTAGTAAGAAGTACTCCTATGGGTGGGGCATGCCACCTTAGGTGACCCCTTATAGGCCCACCCAAATCCATTATGTAGTTAATGGGCCCATATCAATTGGAGGGTCCCACATATTTTAAAAAATATAATAATTTAATTTTAGAATTAATTTCTCTTAGATCATTTAAAAATTGAAAATTGATATTATCTTATTTTATAAATCCAAATGATAAAATTAAAATATTAAGAGAATAACAAAAAATTAAATAAACATTCTAAAATCATATAACATAAAATTAATTAAAACCAATTAATTTTGATGGGAATCAGATTCGTATAGGTTTAGAAATTATGAACACACTGGAGCACTCTAACGCCAACTATGGACCACGATCCACACTAGTTTTCTCAAACTGACTTAGCAGTTTCCATGACCCTTAGTCCTTAAAAATTAGAGATTGTGTTTGTAATGCACTTTTTAATGTTTTCAATCATTATAGCAAAAATTGGAAATTGTTTTGGCCGTTAATATTCATTTTTTTACATTTTCATCTTTTTGAAATTTTCAAAAATGTCCTTGGGTAAAAATCGATTCTTTAAAATCTAATTTTTTTTAATTAATTTTTACCTTCACTTGGATGTGCTTTGTTTAATCATTCTTTAAATATATTTTTCTATACTTTATTAGTTTTTTTATATTTTTTTTAACACTTTTTTTACCACTCGGTACTTGCTCGGTAAGAACGGTTGAACCGGCCAGTTTACTGATGCGACTGGTTGAACCGGCTAGTTTACTGGTTGAACCAGTTGAACCGCTTTCGGGCCCGTGTCTGGTTAACACACAATCACAACAGTCCATCGTATGATTATGTTGGAATAGGACTCGTACACCATAGGGTGACTTGGATCTACCTTTAAAAACTAATCAAATTGCTTGCAAAGCTCGATAAACGCCTAATTTGCGTAAAATGCATGCTTAAATATTTTGAGAAAGAAACTGCTAACAAAGAAAAGAACACACAAGTTAGAAAACCAAAATTACTTCAAGTCTTTTAGGGCAGCAACTGATTCGGGGAGGAGTTCCAAGGATCAATATCACTTGTTTCATTTACATCTATATTCAGTTAAGCGAAAAAAAGAACAAATTTTATCGATAGGTCCCGTTAAAAAAAATGGACCCAAAACAAATGTTGGACTTAACTAGCTGATATAATTCGGTTGAGTCTTCACTATGGTCATTGCTGAGTGGCATGCGTCATTCTACTTCACCAAATTTCTGACTGTTTTGAAATTAGGCGGCATTTCTTGTTGAATGCACCACTTAATCCACTGACCTTTATTCCATGTTCTTTGCAATATAACTAGACCTTGGTGGCTTGGAAGAGATAAACATATATAACCGTTGTGAAATTTTTTGCGAGATATGCATATTTTAACTCAAATCTCGGATATTTATCTTTAGAGAAATGATCCTATAGAACCCTCCCACATTCATGTGTATGTGTGTAGAATCTCAAAGGAACACCATTAAATTTGGTACGGATCTATAGAAAAGTCAAGTTGCATACTGATGTGATAACTTTTTTTAAAAATCCGTGCCAACTTTAATGGTGATACTTTAAAGTCTACACACATGGGTGGAGGAGGGTCCTATAGGATCATTACTCTTATCTTTATCAGCATGAGCCCTTAGGCCTTCTAAAGTTGATCCTCTCGGCCATTAAACCATTGTACAACATGATTTGGGTTTTGACTGTGATTTCTAGGTTTCGTGCCTCGTTGAGAAATGCGATGGAATTCGAACTTCTTATGTTTGCGATGTGAAGTCCATGATTTAGGCTTTGTGGGTTATTTGAACCCATTATATGCCTCAAAAAGAATTTCATATCCATCCAAGAATGGTTAGAAGCACACCATGTTTTGACAGCCAGTTCTCTTTATGGATAACCTGAAATCAAAATGGTAGCCATATACTCCCATCTCATGTGAGTTGTCTATACTTTGCTTTTGCAAACTGTTTTCATCATTAAAAATTCATCTCTCTCTCTCTC